CTCCTTCATCTGAATCATCGTCGTCGTCGTCGTCGTCGTCGCGGCGATCGCCCCTTGTGAACTCGCCTCTGGGATCCTGCTCTAGAATTGCTGCTGCTGCTTCGTCCGCAGGTGAGGCGTAGCTGTGGCCCTCGTTGGCGTAGACGCGGTTTGCATTCGTCTGCTCGTCGTCACGAAATTGTTGCAGAAACAGTCGCTCGTAGAAGATGACATCGCGCGCATTCTTGATTTTCTGGCTTAGGAGATCCAGGATGATCCACGCCTTGTGTTCGTGGCTGATACCGAGATGGATTCCCCAGCGCGCACGGCTTTTGAACTTCCCGATGGTTGATGTTGGTGGTCGGTATTGAACCATGCAGCCCCAGACGCGGAGCATGGAGGTGTCCCCCTTTCTTCCTGTCCATTTCACGTGCGGCGATGAATTGCCAGTGATTGCGGTGGTTGACAGCAGGTTGTGCACCCGCACGGCGTGGTGCATCGCGTAGGTCCAGTAGATCGGCGGGAGCTTTGCCTGTCGCATTAGCGCCCGTACCTTCGTCATGAGGGTGCGATTCGTGCGCTCCGCTACGCACTGCTGCTGGTGCGCGTAGGGGAGGGAGATGTGATGCTCGATCCCCTTTTGCGCGAGATAATCCTGCAGTTCCTTGCTCCTGAACTCCGCCGCACCATCGGACTGCCAAATCTTCAATTTCTCCCCAGATTGCCGCTGCGCGTGCGCCAGCCACAGACGGAATGCTTCGTAGGCTCTGCTACGCGCTTCCACGTTTACGATCCACGCGTGGCGCGTTCCGGCGTCGACGAAGGTGAGTGTGTAGAGTTCGTCGTTGATGCCGCAGTGTCCTTCGTTGAGAAAGTCACTGTAAACCTTCTCAAGCTTGGCGTAGCGATTGGTTCCTGACTCGAGTAGGGGGAAGGGCTGGTGACTCAGCGCAGCTTCGGGGCAGACAGTGCAGCTGCGCGGGTGAGTCCCTCCTCTCACTTCGGAGCCGTCAGGGCGCAACAGCGCGCCAGGTGCAAAGACGTCGGCTTCGATGCAGTTCTTCAGGGTCACGCGCGAAGGGTGACCTAGGCGCTGATGTCAGATGGCGTCGTCGGCGCGGAATCCAGATGTGCGCATGTAGCGCTCCAGTGCGGCTGCGGGGTCTTCGTCAGGTGCCGGTGCAGGTGTAGGCGCTGCTCCCTCGTTCTCTTCTTCTTCCTCGTTCGCCGTCGTTAGCATGAGGGCGAGAAATTCTCTGTCGCGGATGATGGAGTAGGGGATGTTGGTTCCGGGGATCGTGCCAAGTACGAACGTCGGTTCGCGTGGTTCAGGGGCAGGTCCGTAGACAGTGCGTCGCGGGGTGAGTGGTTCACTTCCCCAGTCAATGGTGTCCCAGGGGTCACTACCTGAAGGGATGTCAGGCGGCGGTGGTCCTAACGCAGGGCGGCGCGGAGGTCGTCCGAGAGGAACAACAGGAGGTTCGACCTCAGCATGCGCAGGTTCTTCTTCCTCTTCCCCCCTTTGATCCTCGCGGAAACCTCCCTAGCCGCTCGTCTCGCCGCCTTGTGCGGCGCCCCATCCGCCGATGTATGCGCCTGTTGCTGCGCCCCATCCGCCGGTTGCGACGCCCCAGCCGCTGGTGTCGCTCGTTCCCCATCCGCCGGCGCCCCCCCACCCTCCTTCATTGGAGGCGCCTTCCTCGTCCTGCTCCCAGGCGAGCGTTCCGCGTGCCTCGGCGAGGCTCTTTCGCCGAAGCTCTTCGGCTTCTTGTTGCGCCAATGCCTCTTCTTCTGTGGGCGAGAGCCGTTTCTTGGAATCGCGCCGGTGAGAGTAGATCTCTGCCGCCTTTCGTTCGGTGTAGGGCCGGGGATTCCCATGCGCGTCGAAGGTGCCAACGCCAACGCCGCGGAGCATTCCTTGGAGATGCTGGGATGCGGGTCCGGGAAGAGGGTGTTCTGGTGTGCCGAATACGACCCGTGTACCTGTTTCCAACTCCAGTTGGGAGAGACCCTCTTCAGGCGGTGCGTCTCGCTCTGTTTCGCAAATGGCGGCAAGGCCACGGCCGGCGATCGCGCTCGTCGAAGACGTTGGTGTGTGGCAGTTCCTGCAGACGCCGTCGGGATCGGGGTCGTGCAGCGCGAGCTCGCGGGGGTGTGAGTGGTGTGGCACCCAGGGGCGCCCATCAGGGTGCTTCCAATCGCGGCGATGAATGTGTTCGAAGCGCAGGGGGACGAGGTCAATCAATTCCTGCGAATCGCCGCTGCAGTCGGGAATGTCGAAGTCGAGAACGTATACGCCGTTCTCGGCGCGCGCCCGTCCGATCTGCTTGCGCTTCTTGTTCGGCATCGTGAAGTGGAGCAGGATGTTGCGCGTCTCGGGGTCGGTGCTGAGGATGACTCCGCAATCCAGGAGTTGCGCCGCCGAGAGTAAATTAAAACGCAGGTTTTGTACAATCAACACGTCGTTAAGTGTGATGTGCGTTCGGCTCCCTCGTGCCTTGAGCACCACGATACCTTGCGCGCTTGCGCGCAGCCGCGTGTTGTTCGCCACTGTGACGTAAGTGACGACGGGAGTGGGGACGGCGTTGGATATGTAACGCTCGGAGCCCACCATATGCTGCCCACAGCAGCTGTCCAGGTACCAGTTGTTGTAGCGCCTGTTGTCGTTTCGCGCGAGCAGCGCCAGTCGCGGAGTGACGATGTGTGGAGTGTCCACCTTCAGAAACTGTTCGCGCGCGATCCAGTCGATCGGTGCCGGCCGCATGTCAGGTACGTGCGGAGGGCTCTCAAGCAGCGGGACTGGTAGATTCCAGTCCTGGTTGTCGTCGTCGCTGTAGTCGTGATGCGTGCTGAATGGATTGTTATTCGGAGATGCCTCGATTGGGTCGGGCGCCGGCTCAGGTGAGAGTGAGCGTGCGCGCGGGCGACGAGAGCCGCTCGTCATGGTCATGTTCCCCATGACGTTGCAGACGGGGGCAGCTTGTGGTGGCTGCTGCTGCTGAGTTGTTGGATTCAGGTTGCGCGGTGGGGGTTGAGACCCCTGGGCGGGACGCGTGTCGTTTCTTGCGTCTTGTCGGCCGGTCCAAGTGCTCGGATTGGTCTGGCGAGGGCGAGATCGATGCTTGCATCGATCCGCTAGGTGCCCGAAATTTCTGCAGATCTTGCAGTAGAGGCGCCGTGGTCGTCGCTCTTCCGTGTCGTCTGCGTAGAATGCGAGACGTTCTCTCTCTCGTCGTGGCGCTGGTCGCTGCTGGTCCATATCCCGTTGTTCGACGAGGAGGGCGGCGCAAAGGGCGGCCTCCAAGATGACCCCCTGCTGTCGGAGAAGCGCCTTGCAGGGCCGCCACTCTGGGCCGAGCCCTTGGAGCACGATGTTCACGAAAATCTCCTCAGAGATTGAGCTCCCCAATTTCGCGATTTGATGGCGTAGACTCCGACAGCGATTCAGGTAACTGTTGGCTTTCTCTCCTGGTGCCATCCTTGTTTCCAGTAACTGCTGGAGGAGGCGGCTCGACGACACTGAGTCCTTGGGTTGGTATACGCCATTCAGGTGGCGCCAGGCGTTGAGGGCTGGAGCAGGGGAGGTCTTGTATGAGCGAATGCTCAATTGCTCCGTCGGCGATATGTTCCGCAGAAGAACCCCATACGCCATCAGGGACTCGTTGTAGTACTTGGGTTTTGCGTCGTCAGTATCTTCCGTAGGCCCCGAGTAGCTTCCGTCGAAATAATGATAAATCTGCGCGTTTTGCAGTAGCAGCTCCAGCTCAAAGCTCCAGGTATAGAAGTCTCTGCCGTCAAAGCACGCACTTGTCTTTATTTTTGATATGCTCAAAAACCTTGATTGCGCAGAGAGAATTGCTTCCTCGCTGGGACAGGAAGTCTTGGGGGTTGAGCCGTTCGTATCGAGAGAGAGAAGCCTTGCGGGGCGGAATTCTGGCCGTTTGAGGCCGGTTGAGTGGGTTGGGAAGAGGTTCCCGCATCGCCATTCCGCAATATCTGGAGCCCTTGCTCCAGGCTCGTGAGTCGCTGAAGCAGTTGTGCGAGGACGGCGGAAGGAATCGTCGTCGTTTCCTCGTTTGTCGCAGCCGGGTTGGGTTGCGCTTCAGCCGTCAGATTCGTCTGACCTCCAGATCCTCCGGCCATTCTTACACTTGATCGTGTGCCGGACGCCACTTTCCGAATGTCGCAGATTTCGGAGATGGCGGTGCGAAGGATTCCTGAGTCGCTCTCATACCATGCTGCGATCAGAAGTTGATCGTGGCCTAGGATCTACTCAGGAAGGTTCGCACGCAGAGAAGTGATGTTGGTGGGCCCTTGACCTCAATAGCAGAGTGAATGTAAAATGCTTTGAGATGATAAAAACGTGCAGTACAAGGAATATAAATATGAGTACAGGGGAATTCGAAACGACCTAGCTAGCCATGTACTCTAAGGGGTACATTCCCTTATTGCAGCGAGATCCAACCGTGCGACTCCGAGTGGTTACGTAACTGCCATGTACTCTAAGGGGTACATTCCCTTATTGCAGCGAGATCCAACCGTGCGACTCCGAGTGGTTACGTAACTGTTCGGGCAGAATCCTCGCCACTGCTGCTGCCTGATGCTGTCTGCCCGACAGTCCAGATGCTCCTCGTAATCATCTGTCCCTTCGCCTTTCTTCTGCCTTTTCGTCTTCACTCTCGATAGTGCGTGCTTCGGCTTTGCTACGGTGAGGAGTGCACAGTAATATTCAAGTATTACTGTTCGTAACAGCTGTCACTGGTTCATGCAGCAGGTTATTGCAAACAGGTCAGATCAAACCATGTCTATAAATACACATCGTACAAGCAACTTTCCACATTCACCAGCAACAGCTACGGTACGGTACATGTCACAGTCGCTTACAAGGCCAATGCTGAGCGTTTATGAGACAGACAGATCCCCAATGTTGAGCTTGCTGCTATGCAAACAAAATTCTAGACACACCACTGCCAGCACTGTGCATGTACACTCAGCGTACACACTCAGCCAAGTGGCAATGGTCAGAGGTTGTAGACGCAGAGCGAGAGGCCGACGTAAAGGGTGGAGGAGGTGCAGACGAAGCCACTGTTGAGCTTGCTGACGTACGAGGTCTTCCCGCGGAAGTACTTGTATATGATGGCCGCACACGTGTCGCCCGACTTGACTGTGTAGCGCTTGCTGCATGATGAGGCGCCGAACTTGGCTTGCGCCACACAGAGCTGTGCATGGGGGAGGGAGGGAGGGAGGAATAGAGAGGGGGGCAGGGGGGGGGGGGGGGGGGGGGGGGGGGCAGTGAGAGGAAGCATGAGGTGAGAGAGGGAAACCAGTGCAGGAAGGATTTGAAGGCTTGAGACAAGGGGAGTTCCGCATTGAAGCTGAGGTTTCTCACTGTGCCCACGCGCTTCCACATTTGAGTCTCAGCCCCCTCCTCTTGAGTCACCGAATAGTTGGAGTAGTCGATGAGGTTGTTGCAGTTGAGCCCAGGGTTCAGCCGGTACACTATGTGGAGAAAGACGCGTCCAGCGTCCTGGACGCATGCGTCCAGACGCATGCGTCCAGACGCTGGACGCTAGTTTAGGGCCCCCGAGACGCAGCAAAAGACGCAGGTCCGGGCAGCCAAAAAAAACCCCCCGGGCAGCCAAAAAAAAGTTATAGGGCAGAGGGAAGAGGGGGTAAGAGGGGGGGGGGGGGGGGGGAAACACACTTTCATAGCAAAATTTCTCCTCAACAACAAAATTTCAGCCACAACAATAGAACATGAAGGTGAGCCCCAAATTTCCATAATCACAATTAGTCCAAGGGTTGTTTAGCATGCATGCATACTACCACTAACTAACATGCATCACTCATCCTCCTCGCTCTCCATCCCCTTCTCCTCCTCCTTCTCCAAATCCTCCTGCTCCTTGTACTCGTCGAAGGTGAGGTCATCCTCATCCACCTCCACCTCTCCATCCTCCTCAAGCTTGTACCCCTCGGGAAGGGGTCGGGGGGGAATGTTCCCCTCCACTATTCCCGCCTTCCTGACTTCCCCACTCGGCCCCGCACCCGCCGCACCCTTGTGGTGGTTGTGCACAACGTTCCAGTTGTGCGCAACGAACACAAGGTCGCGAACACAAGGAGCTAGCCATAACGGTGGTGCGCGGAAAGGAGCTAAAACCACTAGGGTTTTTGAAAGAGAATTGGGTTGTGAGAAAAGGGAGCACAAATGAGAAGTTTCATGAACTAAATGGGCTTTGTGGGGGTGGTGGACCACAAAGGTTGGGTTTCCTAGTTGTGGAGTGGTGGAGAGGGGTTGGATTTCCAAATCAATTTTGCAAAAAGGGGAGGGGGTTAGGGGTGAATTAGATGGCTGGTTTTGGGGGTCGAATTTGCTTGGGGGGTGTCGAATTTCGGCGAAATTGACATTCGCGACGAAATCGCGAATGTCAATTTCGCGATCGCGAAAAAAAAAAAAAAAAAAAATCTCGGTCTGCCCGAAAAATTTTCCAGGGTGCGTGCTGCGTCTTTGCGTCCGGACGCAGGACGCAGGGCTGCCCCAGCGTCTTTCTCCACATAGCCGGTACAGCTCCGTGGCTGTGAGAAGATTCAACCCCTCACATCACACTCACATCGCGCTACCACCACACGACCACTAGTGTCTTAGCACCTCTTCTCCTGCCTCACCGACGAATCGGAATAGTCGATGAGGTTGTTGCAGTTGAGCCCAGGGTTCAGCCGGTACAGCTCCGTGGCCGTGAGGCCGTATGTGCTCTGCACGCTCGCACACGTGTCGGTGGCGCTGAGCGTGTAATACTCCGTGCACACTGTTGACACGGAGGCTGGTGGGAGGGCTTGGCCCATCTCCACGCACACCTGGTGGGGGGAGGAGGGAGGGCGTTGGAGAGAGAGAATGGGGCACACGTGGCAATGAGGCTCAGCGTGTAATGCTGCTCCGTGCACACTGTTGACACTGATGCTGGCGGGAGTGCTTGGGCTACCTCCACGCACTCCTGGTGAGGGGAGAAAGGGCGTGCATGAGGTGGGGCGGCGATACGATGAGATGAGACTCAGTGTGTCATGTCGTGCTCTGTGCACCACGCTGATGCCACAGGGGCGAGTGGGAGGGCTTGGCCTTGTTCCAGACAGAACCGAGGGGAAGGTAGAGAGAGCTAGAGAGTTGAGCGCGTGTGAGAGCAGAGAGCGTGTAAGAGTGGAGGGTTGGAGTGACAATGAGGCTCAGCGTGTAAATGGGGTTGGGGTAGGTGGGCGATGGTCAGGTGGAAAACAGCATTTGACAGAGGGATGCGTGGGGGAGGGTTATGTGGGGTAGGGAGGCTTACTTGGTTGGCGGTGATGTTGCTGCAGTCGAGGGTGGGATTGAGGGAGGTGAGACTGGTGAGGTTGAACTTGGTTGCTATCGATGCACACGTGTCGTTCTGATGAGGGGGGGGCGAGAGACGCAAAGAGGGGGAAGAAAGAAGGGTGGCTTTAGCAAAATCTAAAAAATGACTCTTGCGGTTGAACGGGGGAGAGAAGGGGAATGGGGAAATGTAAGCCATGCCGCCCCACTTCTGGCAGTAGTTGGTTGGTGCACATCTTGACAGCCGAGCTGACTATGCTTGGATGATGATCAAGACTGTGTGCATGTGGAAGCAAAGGAAAGAGGCGTACCGGCTGCGTGGTGTAGTAGTTGATGCACATCTTGACGGCTGATGCTGACGTGACGTTCACAGTCACCCCAGCTGTCAGGTTGCTGCTGCAGTCAATGGCCTGGTGGGGGGTGGGGAGGGAAAGGGGTGAGGGGTGTCGGTGGGGGAAGGGAAGGGATGAGGGGAACGGATGGAGGAATCCTACCATGGTTTGGAAGGCAGTGGTGATGTTCTTGCCATGTGCATGTGCATGTGCATGTGCATGTGCATGTGCATGTGCATGTGCATGTGCATGTGCATGTGCATGTGCATGTGCATGTGCATGTGCATGTGCATGAGACGCACCGCATTCATGGATTGGAAGTCAGTGGTGGTGATGTTGTTGGCAGCACAGATGGTGTCGCACGTGTCGCCCGCCTGGATGGTGTATGTGGTGGCCGCAATGGGTGCTGCATTCATGTAGGGGGAGGGGAGGGGAGGAATGGAGAGGCGAAGAGAGGTGAGGAGAAGAGAGGATGGTGTCGCGCGCCTGGATGGTGTCGCACGCCTGGATGGTGTATGTGGTGGCCGCGATGGGCGCTGCATTGGGAGGGAAGAGGATGGGAGAGGAGACAAGGGAGGAGAGGAGACAAGGGAGGAGAGGAGAAGAGGGAGGAGAGGAGAAGAGGGAAGAGAGGAGAAGAGTAAAAAGGTGAAGAGAGGCGACGAGAGGAGAGGAGAGGGGTGGATGGTGTCGCATGTGTCTCCCTCCTGGAGAGGTGAAGAGAGGTGGAAGAGAAGAGAGGGAAGGAGAGGATGAAGTCGTATGCATGTGGTTGCCGCGAGAGAGGTGAGGAGAGGGCGGGTGAGAGGGTGGGAGAGACACATGCGTTGTGGTTGTGTAGTGCCCTGTTATGAGACGCCCTGTTGTGAGATGATTAAAAAAACTAGACGTACGCGGAATGCAGGTAGCAGAGCCGTCAGGGCGAGCAGTGGAGGTGTAGTTGGCTGGGCACGTGCAGTTGTAGCCGCCCACACCATCGTCCACACATGTGCCGGCGCCACAGGGGTTGTGCATCAGCAGCATGCACACCGTCTCTGGTGGAGGGAGAAGGGCGCGAGGGAGAAGGGGGCGAGGGAGAAGGGGGCGAGGGAGAAGGGGGCGAGGGAGAAGGGGGCGAGGGAGAAGGGAGAGAGGCAGAAACAAAGGGAGAAGGGTTAGAGGTCTGTCCGAATAAGAGGTCAGGAGGTGTGAACGCCATTTTCAACTCAGAACACACGCACATGACTAACCATACACAGTGCATGCATACACCGTTTTCAAGGCACCCTGCACCATGAATTAGCACGCGGCACGAGGCACCATAATCAAGTGTCAGCACCACAATCAGCACGCGGCACGAGGCACTTACTGACAATGCACGTGTCGGTGCCGTCCACGTTGACAGCGGGGATGAGGAAGGGCTCCACCGTGCAGTCGCACGAGTAGAATTGCTTCGGCTTCTCCCCCGGCTTGGGCGGCAGCGGCGGGTCCGAGCACTTGCCTGCGCCACAGGGGAAGCCCAGACACCACTTGCCGGGGACGGCTGAGGCGGGGGAGGGGTGGAAGGGGGAGAGTGGAGAAGAGGGGGGCATGTGCGTTGAAGACAAGAGAAATCACGTTGGAGCACTTGCCAGTCCTGCACGGGGAGCCGATGCTTTGAGAGGCATACCGGGAAAGAAAATACGGGGTAGTAACCCTAGCACTCACCAGGCAGCATGGGGTAGTAACCCGGTTCGCTCCACATGCCGCAGTAGCCAAAGGGAGAGCGGTCAAAGCCGATGCGCATGTGGCCGTTGTCGCCCCACGTGGTGCCCCAGCTGTTGCGCAGAATGAAGTAGCTCCCCGGCTGCCCTTGCTCCTCCAGGTGATACCCCACCAGCACCACCACATGGTTCACCATGCGGTTGGCAAAACACGTCTTATCCGTCAGGATGTTCGTCTGGCGAGAAAGGGGAGTGAGGAGGGGAAAGAAGGGTGAGGGAAGGGTGGGGAGGAGAGGGAAGCGGAGGAGAGAGGAGAGGAGGAGAATGGGGAAGTTGTTAGTAGGCTAGAGAAGCCTTGCAAACTCGAAAATGGTCTTAATCCGCGTCCCCGAACACCACACCATGAGAATCACGTAAAGCAGCCTTTGGCACTGCACTCCACCGCATCCAACCGCATGCCAGCCCACCCCGCCCCTCTCCACCGCTTTGCATCTCACCCACCTCGTTGTAATCAAGGAAGCAGTCTTGGTCGGCCTCGACGTGCACGACGGGCGGCTGGAATTGCAGCGCCAGTAGGTGCACAAGCACACAACAACCCACCCCACCGTTTCCCACCACTTCCGATCGCATTCCACCGCATCCAACTCACCCCGTTTTAGTTGAGGAAGCAGTCCTGGTCGGCCTCGACATGCAGGACCACGGGCTGGAACTGCAGTGTCAGGATGAGCACAAGCATGCAACAACCCACACCACCCCTCTCCACCGCATCCCACTCACCCCATTGTAGTTGAGGAAGCAGTCCTGGTCAGCCTCCACGTGCACGACCACGGGTTGGAACTGCAGCGCCAACATGAGCCCAATGGGCCCCAGCAGACTCGCCCGCTCGTAGAACCTCACGTTCGCCACCCCTGGGTTTGTCTGGATCTGAGCGTGGGGAGCGGAGGGGAGAGGTAGGGATGGGTAGGGTAGGCGGATGAGGGGGGTTGGGAGGAACCGGCTCAACAGACTCGCCCGCTTGTGAAACTGCACCAACGCCATCGCCACGCCGTGGTTAGGTTGTGTGAGGGGTGGGAGGAGCAAAGTGAAGACCGAGGAAAACCAAAAAGACATAGAAAAAAAAAAATCATTGCTGAATTAGGCGGACCTTGGCTCAAATGAAGGATGAAAAGGAAGAGTGAAACAATAAAAACAAAATGAAGAATGTATAGAAAAATAGTGACTGACTTACAATGGTCTTGTTACATATTGTGCTGTCATTTGCCATGTAGGGATACACCGCAGCGGACACAAGCGGATTCGCGATGGCGTATTCAAACGCGTCCGTCGTGAACCCGCCGTCGCAGTCGTCCGTGCCACACGTCAGCAGCTGCTGCACCGACACGCGGTTCGGCGGCTGGATGCGATAACCCAGCAACGCGCCGTCGATCGCCGACGCTGCTGCGAACGCCCAGCATGAACCTGATTGGGGAAGGGGGAAGGGGAAAGGGGAAAGGGGCCGGGGTGGGAAGAGGATGTTCGAGGGGGGATGAGCGGGAGCGGGATGGGGATGGTGATGGGGAGAAGGGCGGTGAGGCGGGGACTAGGAAGCTAACAAGCAGGAAGGCAAGGAGTTTCGGCTCATGCCTGTTACGACCACGACGCGCTACCGAGGCGAGCAGTAGCATTCGTTGCAACCAACACAGCCACCTATTGCACACACACCAACACAAGCACTCACTGCAGAGGCTGGGCGAGTCCTGATCCACGACAGGATGTTTTTGAGAATTCTCACACACAGCAACCAACACAGCCACCTGTCGTTGCACGCACACGCACACCAACACAAGCACTCACTGCAGAGGCTGGGCGAGTCTTGATCCACGACAGCCGACAGGTTGGCGCGCCAGTCGACGTTGCTGTGTTCCCGCAGCGCCCACTTGGCCGTGTTGTTGCTGCTCTCTATGCGCAGCGACACGGACGCGTAGTGGAACCACCGATTCTGCTTCGGCCGCGAGACGTTGCGCGGGATGGGCAGCCCTCCCAGCGAGCGATCTCCGATGCGCGCTGAGGTGGGGGGGAGTGGGAAGGGGGGGACGGGAGGGGGCGGGGCGGGGCGGGGCGGGGACCACAAGGGGATTTGCAAGGCGATGCGTGAGCATGTGGAAGGCAGGAGGAAGGAAACAAGAGACAGTGCAGTAGCGAGGCGCAGGCGCAGCCGTAGCGAGGCGCAGCCGCAGCGAGGCGCAGCTGTAGCGAGGCGCAGCTGTAGCGAATCGCAGTTCATGCGTTCCGCATCCTAGGGAAACGGACAGCGCCTTACGCACGAATCGCTTTTCATGGCTGTATGTGGTTTCGACCGCAACTCACTGGGGAAGTAGTTCGGCGGGTCGGTCGGATCGCCAGAGGTCTGACCCGCTCCCCCTCCTTCACCACCGGGAGAAGTGACATTCCCGCCACTACCGCCAACGCCGCCGCCATTAGGATCACCGGACCCAGCTTCCCCGTCCCCGCCCTCTCCGCTTCCCCCCTCTCCTCCTCCACTCGAGGTCTGCGCGGGGGCAGCGCTGGCGGTGACGTCGAAGCCGAGGAGCGTGTGCGCGGAGTAGTACTTTGCGCCCGTGCTCGCGCTGAACCCGATGTACAGCGGCGTGTCGCCGTCAGAATTGTTAGCCGGCGCTGGAAAAAGCGCACACGGGTCGAAGCTTGTAATGAAGGTGTTCTTAGCGGGGCGACTCTTGGCAGTGCTGAGGAAGACGGAGAGTTGCTTCGTGGCGGGGGTGTAGTCGATCCAGACGTATTTGATTTTCGCGTCTTTGAGCGCGGGGATGGCTGTCTTGCTGGCGGTCACTGATTTGACGGACGCGTTTAGGTTGAATCCGATGTGCGGCGCGGCCTTGTCCCAAGTGTCCCTGAAAAAAAAAAATCACGGAAGAAAAGGGAGGTTATGGAAAAAAAAACCAAGAACGAGGAAATATAATTTCCTTTCGTGCACCCCCTTGAAGGACGCCGCATCAAAACTGCTTTCAGCAAAGCGCTGCACTTACTTAAATGTGTCGAACTCCACCGCGAAGCTCGGCGAGTCGCCCGTCTCGCCCCACCCGAGGAACCCACTGTCGCTGCCCGCCTCCCACGCCGCGTTCGCCGTCACGAAGAACGTCACCCCTTGCCCCGCCTTCGACGCGCCGTTCTTCGCGGACGCTACCGCGAACGCGAACGACGCCGAAAACGCCAGCGGCGCGCAGCCGCTGCCGGTGGAGGAGGCGCGGTCGGTGAGGACGATGGCGGAGGGGTTGAGCGCTCCGCCCGCCAGCAGCGCGGCGTCGCTGGTGAGGGTGACGGCGGGACAGGCCTTGTAGGTCGCACTGAGCGCATCGCCGGAGAGCGCGAAGTTGGAGAGGGACTCCGCGAACGAGCAGTCTGCGGCGCCGCGAGGGAATGCGCGGGGAGGAGGGGGGGGGGGAGCAGAAGAAGAGGGGGGAAAACGAGGGGGAAACGAGGAAAGGGGAGGACGGGGAGGGAAATCGGAAACTGCAGTTTTGATACGACTCTGGCTGCGTAGGGCGTTTAGGTTAGCTTGAGCGACGGATGGAAAGGGACACGCGCGGCGCGAGGGAGAGAGGAGAAGGGAGACGTGGTGAGGAGATCGCTAGTGACTGCTGACACCAACGACGGAGAGCCTGACGCCGACGGTGGAGTACGTTGAGATTCCTACCGTTACTAATAGCGGTCAGCTTCAGACTTAAACAGACAGCCGGCAAGCCCGCAGTGCACAAACTATAGGAGGCTCTGGGACTTGTGATAACACGTGCCCTTTGACGTTTGGGTCCAGCGGCGGACCTGCGAGAGCAGCGATGCCGCGCATTCTGGACCGCAATGCGCAATTCCCAGCACACGCGCGGCGCGTTTGTTTTACCGACCCTGCGCATTTGCGATTTTCGTCCTGCCTCTGCCCGTGACTCTCCTTTGCAATCAAGTGGTGCGGAAAAGTATCCACTAACCAGGTGGTGGGGGAGGAGGCGGGGGCGGCGGGGGAGGCGGGGGCGGCGCGGACGGGGGCGGCGAACGTGGAGTTTTCTTCGATTTTCTCCCCGCAGATGCGCCGTGCAACGCGGATATGCACAGGAGAGCCAGAGGTAGTAGCAAAGCTAGCCGCATATTCTGGCGACGCGAAGGTCTCCGTTGCTGCGACGCGCCCCTCCGCCGCCATTGCGACGAAACACGAACGCCAGTCGAGGCGTCGTGTAAGCCGCCACATTGGTTTGGATGTAACATGCTGGCTGTTGTGTCGTCGGATGCGCGACGGCTTGCAGTCCACACAATCCAAGGAACTGACGAAAGAGACTCGCGAGTTGGAGGGGCCTCCTTGGCGACGCCGTGCAAGCAGGCGGAAATGGTGCAGCACTAGCGACAGTCCGCTTCCGTTTCGAGCACGCTGATTCTGACAAGGGACTCCAGGGCGTCGATATGAGGGGCGACCGACGATGAAGTGAGGAGGAGGATGAGGTTGCGAAGCGAAGCCCCCAAGCCAGCCAACCAACACTGACGAGAGTGGTGGCGAAGTTACCCACTTTCGGGTGCGATAGGAAGAAAAACGAAGACTTGCCTGTTCAAGAGGAAAAGGCTTCAAGGCTGGACCACGTGGGGAAAGGGAGGGAGCGGGAACGAGGAGGAAGGAGCATGAATGGTCTGTGGGACATGGTTCTGCAATTCGCACGAGGGGAGGTTAGACCTGGTGAATCGGACAAATGCCCTTTTATCTGTTCTGGTGAGATCCCGGTACAACTCCACGACACAAATTGGACACAAGGTCTGCCCCATGGATATTTCTGGTTTCTGCCATATTCTGCCCTTGAGCAGCAATCGGAGCTTCTCAAATCGGTCCAGCGGCATCTCCGCTCCACCTGAGGCGGATTCACTGGCGCAGGTTCTGATGGCTTCACCAAGCTCGACAGGCAAGTTTCCTGCTTTTCCTGATTTTAAACCTCCACACACCCCTCACAACAAAGATAATGAGCTCTCTACAGTTCTCCCAGTTGAAGTTTGTTCTTTGTTTGAAATTCATGTTTCACATTCTCAAAATTCATTTTTGATTTGATCGAACTCATATGTCCCGGGCGGCCCAGGGAATGGCCCGAGGCGCAGGAGCTTGTTGGCTTTGCTGGGTTCAGGGTGGCCGTCAACCACGCCGCGCCTCCCCCGTCCGTCCCCCATCAACTGAAATCTGTTGAGCGCGAATCGTCGCACGCAGATGCTGGTGGGAGGGAGGGATTGGCCCAACTTTCACTCCACTTCAGCCTGTTGCCAAGAGTGCTGCCGCGGAAAATCCACCTGAATGAACCAGGGTCAGGTCAGCACGCACGACCCATCAAGCCAAGGTAGCCCTTCAATAAAAAACTGATTTGACGGGCATAAAATTGTTCCATCATCTGTAAAAGGATCTTCCTTCGGGGCGTAAATCCAACGGTTGCAATGCAAAAAATGTCAAGTAAGGAAGTGGTACAGATCAGGGAGATCTGAGGCTGATTGCCTCGATCCCGCAATCCACAATTTCCGAGAAGGTCCAAAAGGTAATTTTGGGCAATCGGGGGCAATCTGTCGATCGCATTTGAGATCGTGATCGATTGCGATCGATTGCCTTGATCTGATGCAATCGATTGCAACCGATCGCGATCGACAGGTTTGGCGAATGGCGAACGTGCGCGATTTGTAACCATTGTCGCTAAAATTCGCTTTTGCTCGCTGCTACAAAACATCTCGCGACAGTCGAACCTTCCAGGCTGAGCCTCTGGGCCAATCAACGCAGCCCCAATGAAAATGAATATAACACGCGTAATGGGGCAACACTGTAATTTCGGCATACAGATGTACTCGCTTGGTTTCGCCAAACTTGAGCTGGAAAGTACATACTACTAGCCTGGAAGGCGCAGTTGATGTTCCGTCGCGTCAGATCGGGGTGATCACACCCAATCGCTCGCAATCTGATCCAATCAACTACCGATTGCGTGAGATTGAAACGATATGTACCACGTCCTAAACAGCTTTCGCAGGGGTAACTTAGCGACCCTGCGCTTTCAAGGGGACTACAGTGCTATATGCGGGCAATTTCCGCCACTCCGACAGGAACATTATGGCAACAACACAGAACTGGGTCCCACATTCACCCACGTGTCACAAATTTTGCAAGCCACTTGAAAAAATATCCCTTTACCTGACCCAAAAAACTAAAACCCAATCGGGAAGGGATGCGTCTCGGGGAGGCATCAACCCTAAAAAAATGTGGGTTCCCGTGTTTAGGGTTGATCCCTCCCGAAAATGAGCCCAGGTTCCCTCTGGGTTTTTTTTTGGGTTGCGAAGCAACCCTTTACGATCGATTTAGCCAAATTTTATTTTCATATTTATATTTTTTATAAAATCATGAAAAAAAATTGTCAACTACAGTAATACCCTTCCCATACTGTATGCATGTTGAGCAGTTTTGAATACGGTAATGATTTTTTTCCAATTATTTAGTGTAGATTTGCTGTACTGTGTGCATTATATATTACTGTTAGATGATGTTGTGTAATGATAAAGAGATGAATGCATAATGCATAAATGATGCTATACAATGCATAATGCATAGAATGATGCTATATAATGCATGTGATATGTCATGAATGATGCACATGCACATGATAAAATGCATGACAGTTAACCAAAAAACTAAGCTACCGCCATCCCCTGCCTAGCATGGGGGGGAGGTCAATAGCTTAGTTTTTGAATAATCAACGACCACATGAAACAACACAATCCGTGAAGTCTACAAACGAGATCAACCTACCAAATCCAGTTCAAGTGAGCGTACCCGTTCGAGTGTAACTCAATGAACCGTTGGGAAATGATAGAACTGATTCTCATTTCTAAAAACCACAGACATGCATTGTTAATGAAATAACAGATGGATAATGATATGGTAGATGAATGCCACACATACGGACACATACGCATGCAATCAGACGGACACACGCACGCACAGAAGCTCGGAACAAGCCAATGCAAAAAGAACTTACGAAGGAAAAAAAAAAAAAAAAAAACACAGAAGATGCAGAAGATCACTACCAAGCAATACAACACAATTAGACCTAATCGCCACAAATGTGATCGTTCCTCCTTTAAAGAGGACCTTCAATTCCCGAATGGTACAGCAAAGCCTCTGAAAAGTAGGAAATAGGGAAACGTAAGGGGGGAAATGGGGAATAGAAGTTGAGGGGATATAGATGGCGACTTTGAAAAAAAAAAACCACAAGCTGGCTTTCTGAACACAAATAGCGGGGATTTGGAGTAAACGGAAAAGAGGAAAGAGAAAAAAAGTAAGAAGAAAAGTCCAAAGAGCTCCACGTGGGTAAGAATGGAAAAGTATAGAACAAAGGAAAGAAGAATGATCATCGAAAGAAGGGGAGAGGAATAAAAATGCAGAGAGGGAGAAGATACCTCATATTCAAAATGCTAAAAGTGTTTCTCCACTAAAATGAAAGGGAACGAGCGAAAGGCTTATGAACCTTGAAAACATGAAAAGGCTAAAATCTTTACAACTTGCATCACATAAAAACGACTAGAAAACGAGAATAAGAAATGTTAGCCTAGATCGTACTCATCTAACATAGTTCTAGTTAATAAGTTAGCATTGATCTTACCTTGATGTGGTAGGTGGAGCGTAATCAGCGGGGCATTGTAAGCTCAACTAGCGAGAGGAAGGGAGAGAGAAAAAAGGGATGATCAAACCCTAAGGCAAAGCAAACGGAAAAAATGAATGAAGAATGCAAAACGAACGGAAGAGGGACACAATATATTAATGCAAGAATAGACACTAAACCGAAGCACGAATACAACAAACAGAGAGAAATGAAAGGGAGCGGAATGAAATGTAAGATACAAAAACGAATGAGGAAAAAGAGAAGTCTTCAAGGAAAGTAAAGAAGTAAGAATTGGAAAAAATGGACAACTCACCTAGCAACGAGTAGATGGCGTATAGCCAGGAAGCGAACTGAAGGAGGACGCCTAAGAAAGAAAGGAATGAGCAAATCTGTTTACATTGAATGCATTGAGAATGAAATGTGAAGAGTAATGGAGACGGAAATGTGAAGAGCATAGTTTTCAGAGATTAAGACAAGGCGAAAATCGTTGATACGGTAGCAAGAAGTGAGGAGCACGCACTAGTTAAGAACAAACTAGCTGCTTAGTCGAAATGACATCAATCCTTGAAAAACGATCTAGCTTTAGAACGGTCAAGGATACGAGATTAAGAAACGTTAATCTAAAGAATAATCTAAACTAGTTGATAGCTAACGTTGAGGTTCTCCTCACCTTTGTGTGGTAGGTAGGAGCAGAGTGACTAGTGGCAGTAAGCTAGCTGCAGCGGCTAGAGGAAAGGGAGAGAAAAAAGGGAGAGAAAAAGGACGACACATACCCTAATCTAGTGCTGAGTTTGTCGCGTCAAAATGTTTCTAGTACTTTAAGCTGAAAAAGCTCAGACAGCGTTTTAGCTTAGTCGTTTGAGATTCGGATAGCCGATCGACAGGTCTAGGTTCGAACCTTACAGTTGGAATTTTAGAACACATTTCAAATAGCGCCAAGTACGCTCACTTTCATTTTAACTAAAAAATGATGATTGTAGTTAAGCAAAATGCTTCGCAACCCTAAGACAATTTCGTCGCCTCTTGTTTTTTTTTTGCCGTGCGTTTTCTAACTTTCCAAATTTGTGACACGTGGGTGAATGTGGGACCGAGTTCTGTGTTGTTGCCATAACTTTCCTGTCGGAGTGGCGGAGGGGCGGAAAGTGCCCGCAACTAGCACTGTAGTCCCCTTGAAAGCGCAGGGTCGCTAGTGGTACCCCTGCGAAAGCTACTTACCCAAAAAATGTCAAAGTGCAAAAAACGGTTCCTTCGATCTGCGCTCCTAGCGTGAAGTGACAGTAACAATGCGCATTCAACTCAAAACCCTTCGAAAATGCTTGGTGATTCTTACTTAGAAAACTGTTGACTGAGGACGCGCAACTGATTCCGTTTCTGTACAGTACACGTAGATTGGGGGAGTGGTTCATTCATTGCTGGCTCGTCTGGGTTTCTGTATAAACGTAGGTGTAGTGTAGACTGGGAATGCGACATTTCACTTCATCATTCGTACTCACCCAAATCATTGCATACAACATGCTATTCCCCGCCTTAATTAAGGGTATATTCCTGGCACCTGTCACAGGAGATATAGTGCAGTGCAAAAATATAATCGCATGTGTAATAGTTTCCGCAGCGACACACTGCTTGTGTGACGCCTCTCACCAGGAATGTACCCTAAGATACACACCCTTCGCTCTAAAGTGGGAACCCAGTGGAAGGGTTGACCCAAGAGCCCTCAAGTGAGTGTGACACAATGTGGGGGCCGGGGCCTGGGCGGGTGAGCAGAATGTACTTGAGGGGTGGGGAGAAGCCGCCTGATGCCGTGCTTGCTTCTTATGGTGATGGTTGTGGTGGTGGTTGTGCGTGGGGAAGCGCCTCCACGGAGACAAGAGAGGTGTCGCCGGTGAGATAGCTGCACGCAGGGAGAGAGTCAGTGAGGGTTGGTGGGACGAGGAGGGGTGTGAGGTGGATGGGCGGGACGAGGGGTGTGAGATGGATGGGACATGGTTCCTGGGATGAATAGACAAGAGGATGGGGATAAACGAGGATGGGGCAAGTGGAGATACACGATCAGGTGAAGAGGGGATAGTTGTAGAGGGTGGTGGTGCCAGGTGGGGGATAGGAAGTCGGAGTGGGGAGTGGTGGTGCACGGAGCGAAGTGGTGATTACGTAGAAATCATAGAGGCGGGGATGGGGTGGGGGGAAGGAATACCTGGAGAGTGGGGTGCTGCCGGGTGGGGGAAAGCGTTGCAGGAAGGCGGAGAGGAAGTGCGTGGCGTTGTGGTGCTCCACAAACATGACCGCGTTGGGCCCCGCGTCAAATGTGTACGCTGCCTGCCGTTGGGGAGAGGAGAGGAGCAAAGAGCAGAGCGCGGAATGATGAGATGGGTGCTTCACAGAAACGAAACCACTGGGTCGAGTTTTGAGGCGCCTCAAAAGTCGAGACCAGATTGCTATGCTGCCTGGTGTGGTGGGTGCAGAGGAAGAGTGAGGTGTTGGTTTGCGGGGAGGAGCAGAGACACTAAGTACTTGGCAGAACAAGTGAGCAGCACTTGCCCCCCTTCACTCTGCTGATTCCCTTCACAACGCCCATCCTCAAGCCCCCTGCACCCCTTCTCCACCCACCTGCAACCCCTCTTCAACCCCCTGCAACCCCTCTTCAACCCCCTGCATCCCCTCTCCACCGTCGCCACTTCACTGTTCCCCCTGCACCCCCTGCTGCTCTGCCTGAGCATTGAAGTCCTCCACGAAGCCAATCACACGACGCAACGTGGTGCTGAGATGGAAGGTGGCAAATGCGTGCATGCAATCACCCACTCACCCACTCACGCTTGCATCTTCCCCACACTCACATGTTGCCAGCACTCACCCACCCGCTCACCCTTACCCCTCGACCCCCTCGCACCGTACCAATTGACCCCCCTCCATCCCCCCCTGTGCACCCTTGGCTGCTCTGCCCGTGCGTTGCACTCCTCCACGAAGCCAATCACGCGGCGAGACATGGCGTTGCCAGTCGCGACACTCATCCACTGCGCTCACTCTTACCCCTCGCACAGTACCCATTCACCCCTCTGCACCCCTCTGCATCCCCCCCTGTGCACGCACCCTGGGCTGCTCCCCAGCATTGCACTCCTCCGTTGAAGCCGATCACACGGTGCGACATGGAGTTGAGATAGAGGATTGCAAGTGCACAAATTCAGGTTCTCACCTCATTCACCCTTACCCTTCCATCCCCCCTGCACCCTCCTGCACACCCTTGCACGCACCCTCGGCTGCTCTCCCTGTGCGTTGAACTCCTCCACGAAGCCAATCACACAGCCCGGCGTTGCACCCCCCTGCACCCACCCTCCATCACCCTCCACCCCCCTGCACCCAACCTCCATCACCCCCCACCCCCCTGCACCCACCCTTCATCACCCTCCACCCCCCTGCACCCCTCTGCACGCACCCCTGGCTGCTCCCCCTGAGCATTAAACTCCTCCACGAAGCCAATCACGCGGCGCGACGTGGCATTGAGGTAGAAGATGGGCGGCGCCGTGTCGAGGCACGTGGCGTGGAACTGGTTGCTGTCCGCACAGGTCAGCCGCGCAAATGAGGGGAAGTCGCGCGCTGCTATGGCTGCCTCCATTGCTGTGATTCGCTCTGGTACCACATGCTGTAGGGAGGGAGGGAAAGGGAGAGAGGGAAGGGCAAGGGGAAGGAGGCTGGAAGAATGAAGGCGTGGCATGGAATTGGTTGCTGTTGGCACAGGTCAGGCGGGCAAATGAGGGGAAGTCGCGAGCAGCTATGGCTGCCTCCATTGCTGTGATTCGCTCTGGTACCACATGCTGGGTGAGGGGCAAGTGGGGTGGGGAAAGAAGGGGCAGGGAGGCACGTCAAGGGGCAGGGAGGCACGTCAAGGGGGCAAAGGCACGTCAAGGGGGGAGGCACGTCAAGGGGGCAAAGGCACGTCAAGGGGGCAAAGGCCCAGAAGTTGCAGGTGCTATGGCTGCCTGCATTTCCTAAATGAATGAAAGTACGAATGAAGGCAAGGCCAGGCCGTGAAACTGGTTGCTGTCCACGCAGGGCAGGCGGGCAAATGCTGCAAAATCCCAGGCTGCAATGGCTGCCTGCATTGCTGTGCACTCAGCAGCACTCGGACCAAACACGTGCGCCCGTCACGCGGGGGCCCCCCATGGGTTTCTGCTTTCATCCGACCCCCACCCGTGGCCTTCAGTTTACCCCCACCATCCGCCCCGTGGCTGCAGCAGCTTGGAGGTCTGGGCGGACCGTTATATGCCCTCCCCACCCCAACCAAGTTCTTCGTTTGCCCCACCCTTGCTCGTCAACTGCTCCCACCCACCCGTGCTCTTCATTTGCCCCTCACCTCAGCGCGCAGCTGCAGCAGCTTGGAGGTCTGGGCGGACCGTTTCATGCCCTCGCTGCTGCCAATGTCCTTCTCCCTCTCCTCCACCTGTGCATGTGGGGAGATGCAGGAGAGGAGGGGGGAGAGGGGGGGTACAGGAGGGGAGGAGGGGGGTGCGGGAAAAAGGGGCTGCCAGTTGACCCCTCAACTGCAGCAGCTTGGAGGTCTGGGCAGACCGTTTCATGCCCTCGCTGCTGCTGCCAATGTTCCCTCTCCTCCACCTGTGCATGTGGGAACAGGAGGAGGGGGAAGGGGAAAAGGGGGAGGGGGAAGGTCAGGGCAACAGCTGAGCGCAGAGGCAGAGCATCAAAGTGCAACAACGTGGAAAGCAAAGCGCAGGAGAGGACCGTAGAGCACATCGGCCCTACCATTCCACCACCATTTCCACCTGCACAGTGGCGCACACTCTCCCTCCCTCTCACCACACCAATAACAGTGACCAGATCGCTCCAGTGGTCTATGGTCCTGTGCCTTGAGAGCACTCTCCGCCTTTTAGAGGCGACTTCGAGCACTTTTTCGAGTCAACTCGCTACATTTTCCGCCTCTCCGCCTCCGAGAACTTTTTTGAGTCGACTTTTCGAGGCGACTCCGAGCACGTTTTCGAGCTCGCTACATTTTCAAGTCGACTCACAACAGACAGACATGCCCTCCCCGTCACACCCCTTCCCCCCTCCCCCAAGTGTGTGCCCTCCCACTCACCACTGCAATGATGATGACCAGGTCGCTCCAGTGGTCCTCTGCCTTGACTTGCCGCGCCATGCTGTCGCTCCCGTCTTCTAGCTGGCGGTGGGAGAGGAGAGGAGACGCACACACACGAGGCATGAGGCATGAGGCATGAGGCATGAGGCATGAGGCATGAGGCATGAGGCATGAGGCATGAGGCATGCGGCATGAGGCATGAGGCATGCGGCATGAGGCATGAGGCATGCGGCATGAGGCATGAGGCATGAGGCATGAGGCATGAGGCATGCGGCATGAGGCATGAGGCATGAGGCATGAGGCATGAGGCATGCGGCATGAGGCATGAGGCATGAGGCATGAGGCATGAGGCATGAGGCATGAGGCATGCGGCATGAGGCATGAGGCATGAGGCATGAGGCATGAGGCATGAGGCATGAGGCATGCGGCATGAGGCATGAGGCATGCGGCATGAGGCATGAGGCATGAGGCATGAGGCATGAGGCATGCGGCATGAGGCATGAGGCATGAGGCATGAGGCATGAGGCATGCGGCATGAGGCATGAGGCATGAGGCATGAGGCATGAGGCATGAGGCATGAGGCATGAGGCATGAGGCATGAGGCATGAGGCATGAGGCATGAGGCATGCGGCATGAGGCATGAGGCATGAGGCATGAGGCATGAGGCATGAGGCATGCGGCATGAGGCATGAGGCATGCGGCATGAGGCATGAGGCATGCGGCATGAGGCATGAGGCATGCGGCATGAGGCATGAGGCATGCGGCATGAGGCATGAGGCATGCGGCATGAGGCATGAGGCATGAGGCATGAGGCATGCGGCATGAGGCATGAGGCATGCGGCATGAGGCATGAGGCATGCGGCATGAGGCATGAGGCATGCGGCATGAGGCATGAGGCATGCGGCATGAGGCATGAGGCATGCGGCATGAGGCATGAGGCATGCGGCATGAGGCATGAGGCATGCGGCATGAGGCATGCGGCATGAGGCATGAGGCATGAGGCATGAGGCATGCGGCATGAGGCACAATGGAATCGAAAGAGATGCTGATTGCCAGGTATTCTACACGTTTTGCACTTCTGAGAACTCGCAAAAGTGAGCCTGGTTTTCGAATGACTGAACACAATGCCAGATCCTCAAACTTAATCCAACACAGTGCAAGATATTGTGAACTATTTCACCACTATGAGCCAACTCTGGTTTGGGAGCGGCCATGGCTGCAGGTGGCGATACGTGTGAAACGGGAATGGAGGAAACGAGGGAGAGGGAGGCAGGGGATGGAATGAGAAAGATTAGGGGGAGCAGCGTAAGGAGGCGGAGTACGTGGTGTGGTGAGGTCAAGCAAACCCGGCACGCTTTCACCCAGAGACAGCTTCACCTCACCTCGCCCTCATCATCCCATCTCCCATGATTGTCTCACCTCGCCCTTGTCCCACGTGACAAATCCGCCGTACAGGCTCCTGCACGCGCTGCCAGATCCCATCCTGGTGGCATTCGGAGGAGGGAGGACGGGGAGGGGGACGGGAGGAACGGGAAGGTGGGAGCAATGGCGTTTACATAAGGTATGGGCCAATCACACAATTTGTGCAATGCATGAGAAACCCAGTTTAGGCACACGTGGGCTGCAATCCCCCATGAGCAGATTTGTTTGCAAGGTGCTTAAAACACACGAGCAGCATTTGCTGTAACGAGGCCTCCTTTCCACCAAGCGGCACTCTAACGAGGCCTATGATTAAAACTGCGTGCCAATGCTTCTCCTGTCAGCCCGTCAATGCTCCTGCCGTACCTGCCATGGCTCCTGCCGTACCTGGCAACTCATCTGCCGTACCTGGCAACTCATCTGCCGTACCTGGCAACTCATCTGCCGTACCTGGCGATGGCTGAGAGCTCCCCCGGGTATGCCTCCTTCACTCCCATGAGCTCTGCCAGGGCGAACACTGTGACGCATGCATGCATGCACGCACACACAGGCATGCAGGATGGCACATGGGGCACAGCCGCACAGGGCATGGAGCATGGGGCAGGCACAAGGGATGTGAGGGCGGAGCAAAGGAGGACAGCATGGCATGGCAGGACGGGGGTGACCACGGAGCAATACTTTTGCAAGTGGGGTGGGGCGCATCCAGAGAATTGGACACAGCATGCATACATGCAAGCCGAATCTCCTCTTCCCAAACCTCGCTCCCCAATCTCCACTTCACTCTCGAATCCCTCGCCGCGTCTCAAATCCCACTCTTCAAAGTTCAAACGCCAACTTCCCAACTCAATCCCAGCATCCCAATCTCCCGATCCCAAACCCTCCTCCCCAAACCCCAACCCTCAAACAGGTTTCGAAGTTTAAAAGTTCCAACATCCAACCTTTTGCGAACAATCGAAACTGCAACCACGTCCTGTCTTCCCTCACTGATAAGTGGCGCTCCAGTCCCTGTACGTATCCCAAACTCCCAACTAAAACCCCGAACCCCGACCCCCAAACCCTACTCCATCAACTTTGTCCCACCCAGCAGCAGCATTGGCGACATCAGGAGGAGTTTAGAAGGGGGGAAGGAAGGGAGGAAGGGAGGAAGAAACAAGAGACTCACCGAGGCATGCAAAGCCAGCAGCGGAGGAGGCGAGGCCAGCAGCGGTGGGGAAGTTGTTAGCCGACACCACGTGCACCCGCAGCTGCTGCCACTGCCCCGCTCCTATCTCCACCTCCTCCTGCTCGCCCCCTCCCTGCCCGCCCTGCTGTGTGGTCCCTGGAGCGGGCAGGCGCCAGTGCGTGGAGGAGGCGCGTGCACGCAGGGCAGCCAGGCAGTTGCTGTAGCGGTGGCTGCTCATCGCCACCTCCTGATGCCGTGGCGAGTGGGTATGGGGGAGTGAGTGGGAAACTGTTGAGTTTTGAGTCGACAAACAGTCTGTCACCTTGTTCTGGGTCGACTCAGAAGCAGTTGCCGTAGCGGTGGCTGCTCATCGCCACCTCCTGATGCCGGGGCGAGTGGGTATGGGGGAGTGTGGGGTATTGTTGAGTTTTTGGTCGACTCAACAGCCACCTCGAACCGGCCAGACTCAATGCAATGCATATTGCACAGGAATGCAAGTCAGTGCAAAGGATGCTGCATTGGAGCGCGTGTTGTGGCATGTTGTCAGTGTGCTGCAACGTTCAGATGGATTATCGGGTTCAGGGTTCGCACCCGGTGGTTATCACACTAGCCACATCAGGTGGTTATCACACCAGCCACATCAGGTGGTTACCACACCAGCCACATTGCCAGTTGCGTTATCAGGTATGCTACAGCATCAGCCTACCAGGTACGACCTGTACGGGAACGCACCTTGCCATGAACAGGTACGACCTGTACGGGAACGCACCTTGCCATGAACAGGTACGACCTGCACGGAACGCACCTTGCCATGAACAGGTACGACCTGCACGGAACGCACCTTGCCGTTGAGCCAGAGCCGGTCCGCAGTGAACGACGGGCTGACGGCGACGGTGGTTTCGGCGGCTAGCTGGTCCACGTGGAGCGTCACGCTCACGCTGCCATTAAGCGGCAGCACAAGCGCCTCGTCGCGCTTTCCCCAGTACTTAATCACCGCGATGTTGCTCGGCGCGCGCGCCGTCACTCCCACCACCCACGGCGCCGCCTCGCACGGCGCTTCGGCGGACGACGACATGACGCTGCTGACGCTGACGCTCTCGTTTATGTCACGCGGGCTACACAGTCACAGTTGAGGACTCGCTGTAGTCACTTTTTGCAGCTCACACAGTCACGGCTACTTTGTAAACAAAGAAAAAGGGGAGCCGAAGCCCGCGAATGGAGTTAAGCGTCAGAATGCAATGATAATGCTGCGATAATCCCTAACGATAATAATGAGCCGCTCTGCAACGAAGTATTGGAGACTAATGGAACTTGGCTCGTAGCGACGGTCGGCTCAGATCACTGATCTGTCTGGCTAACGATAACAAGCAGTGGTGGTGTCGATAAAATAATGCGGTGACACGTCAATCCCTCCTACGCAGCCAAGAGCTTAATTCAGAAACAGCGCGAGACGCGACTGAAGGTAGCTCGATCAGCAAAACGAAACTCTGAATTGAAGAGAGATGAATTTCAATTTAGTTCTCATGAAAAAATGCTCGAGAACTCGCTCGCAAGGATCGCGATGCGTGGCACTCGGTGCGACGAGCCTGGCTGATTCTCACATCCTCATCCGCGCACTACACACGCGAGAGCTCTCCCGGTCCACATGTTTCAGCGAACAACGCGGTGGGAACCGGCAAGCTAGGCGACAGAAGGAGCAACAACAGCCGCAATAGCTAGCAACGGTTGTCACCGACGAGCGTACCTAGGGAATTCAGCGGCCAGACCAGTCGTGAACTGGTGGAGACGAGAAAATGGGAGAAAAAGCTCTGGCTGGGTTGGGATGGGAGCATCAAACATTGCAACGAAGTAAACCGAACGGTTTTTGCGAGAGTAACTCGATTGAGACGAAGAAGCGCGTGCAGTCCAGTCAAATGTGTAGTGTCGGTTGCTCTGTTTCCTTCCTCCCACCGAAGCCAACCGAATCGCCACAGATGAGCCTTCAGCTCACAGTTTCGGGAATAACATGCTAAGGGGTGTCCCAGTAACCAAGTGGTAAATTTTCTGTAGTCCTTTCATACATGTTACGGGTGCAATGTAGCGAGGGTAGCGAGGTTTGCACTGAAACATACCAAGCCCTAGAATGAGCTCAGATGGACAAACACGGCCATACGCGAGACATTATAGCGAGGAACAATAGCGTGAGATGACTGCGAGTGTAAGGAAAATTCATTTTCCTTACTTCGCATCCCTGCTCAACGCGTACATCACTGTAGCACCACAGTCAGCACCGTTACCACTCGCAACCCTCGCATCGACAATCTGCCCGCCACCTTCGCACATCGCACCCCGACCTCACGGCTCGGCGGGTAACCCGCGCTCCGGGCCTCCGCTTCGACACTTTTTCCCAACCTCAGTCCCAGGCCCGTCGCGCGACAACCACAGTCCATTACCGTTACCACTGTAATTTCGCTATATATTCTTCGCTCATGACTTCGCTCATTGTACTCTTGCTTCGATAGTGCAATTCTCGTTCGTTCACTCAATTGCACTCGTAACACTTGGTATTCAGAGCCTACGATCTCCTCTCGGACCGCACCCACACCTTCGCTTCCCCACTATCTCAATTTTTGGGGGGGGTGGACGTCTCTCAGCGACACAAGCACCGCCGCTCGTAGTGCTCTCTCGTAAGCACGCACGGCTACGACTGAGGCTCTCGCTGAGTTCGCCCGACACCCCCGCCATGGCCGAATTCACGCTCGCCACATTGACGCAGGAGCAGCTCGACCGTCTGGTGCGCCAACTCGAAGATTCGGCGCTCGAAATTGCGACGCTCACGGCGGAACGTGACTCCGCGCGTCAGCAATCAACGATGAACACTCCAGCGCCACCACACGCACCGACAAATGCATCTGCACAATCAGTGTCAAAACATATGCATAATTGTATCTAGGCTATATTGGGGCTAGCCTTAGGGGGTACACAAATAGTCTCGACACTCTAGTCTTGTACCCCAATCTTCACCTAATCATCAACTTTCTCGTTCCCTAGCTAGTGATTCTAACATGGTATTAAGAGCACAATGCTCCTTAGGACCGGTTTTTTTTTTAAAGGGCCCACCACTACTATTTCGATCTACTGCCCGAGTCGCGCCCCTAGGAGAAATGTGAAATTCGAAACCGTGCTCTAGGCGAGACGGTTCCCTAGGCGCGATTTTTTTTTCCTCCTAGTCACGTGCGACCCCCCCCTGAACGCGTAGGCCCGTCGCGAAGCCCGTACAGCCCACGTAGGCCCGTCGCGAAGCCCGTACAGCCCGCGTAGGCCCGTCGCGAAGCCTGTACAGCCCGTGTAGACCCGTCGCGAAGCCCGTACAGCCCGCACCAGGCCGTCGCGCAGCCCGTACAGCCCGCGCCAGGCCGTCGCGCAGCCCGTACAGCTCACGTCAGGCTCGCACCCAGCGCGTAAAGCCCGCGCCAGGCCCGCACGCAGCCCTTACAGCCCGCGACTGGCCCGCACGCGGCCCGTGTTACTGTTACTCACTGCTGCTGCAGCTCCTACTACTACACTTGCTACAGCTAGTGCTACTGCTGCAGCTCCTACTACTACACTTGCTACAGCTAGTGCTACTGCTGCAGCTCCTACTACTACACTTGCTACAGCTAGTGCTACTGCTGCAGCTCCTACTACTACACTAGCTACAGCTAGTGCTACTGCTGCAGCTCCTACTACTACACTTGCTACAGCTAGTGCTACTGCTGCAGCTCCTACTCCAACGCTTACTGCAGCCGCCCCTGGACCCAGAGCAGCCGCTTTGCACGCCCTCGCGTGCCCCTAGCGTACCGGCCCCGCCCCACTAGCCCGCCCTTGCTGGCCTCGTGCGACCAGGCCCCGCCCTAGCTAGCTCGCCACCTCGTGCCCCATGCGGACCGCCCCACTCTGCCCTGCACGCCCTCACGTGCCCCACCTCGAGTAGCCGCTGCCTAGCCGAGCCGAGCCGCCCCACCGAACCGCGTCACCCGGCCCGAGCCGCGCCGCCCTACCGAGCCGCGCCCCTGATTCTGTCACTGCTACTGTCACTACTGCTGTTTCTGCTACTACTACTACTACTGCTCCTACTGTCGCTATGGCTAGCCCCCCTGTGCTAGCTTTCGATGCTGAGGGCCGCCCAGTGAAGTTTGACACCTGGCTCGATGACCTGCACCTATTCCTACAACTCACTGCCAAGGAAGACATCTCACTGTACGATCACGCCTTAGGCCATGCCACTGCCCCTGCTGCTACTGCTGACAGCACTGCCCGCTCACAGTGGCAGACTCGTGACGCCCACGCTCGCTTTGCTATTCGCAACTCCCTGCCGATAGATGAGCGCGAGCACTTTGGCCAGCACAAGACTGCACAGGCACTGTACACCGCTGTCGTTGCCCGCTACTCCTCACCTGCCTCTGCCGCGCTAGGCCGTCTCTCACTCCCCTACCTGTTCCCCGACCTGGCCTCTTTCCACACAGTCGCTGACCTCATCACACACCTCCGTACTAGTGAGGCCCGCTTCCGTGCCGCTATGCCCAATGAGTTTCTTGCCACGAACCCCCCCCCGCTCTGGCTCACTCTCTACCACCTAGTCACCCGCCTCCCTGACACTCTGCGTGCAGTCAGGGATCACTTCCTAGCTCGCTGCCCCACTGAGCTCACCATTGCCCTCCTCGAGAAGGAACTACTTGCAGCTGAGGCTAGCATAGTCGCTGTAGGTGCCTCTCGTGGCGACCCCCGCACCCCTTTCTTTGAGGGGTGTTCCCCTTCCCCCCTTCTTCCCTCTGTAGCCTCTGCTTCTGCTGCCGACCTCCTTGGTGCTGAGAAGGTCGGGACTGCGTCCACTTCGAGCTGGCACCGCAGCGGCAAGGGCAAAGGGGGCAAGGGAGGCGGAGGTGACGGCGGGGGAGGCGGTGGTGGGGGCGGTGGAGGCGGTGGGGGTGGTGGTGGGGCTGGAGGGACTAGTGGCAGCGGTGGGGGTGGTGGCGGCAGCGGCGGGGGAGGTGGCAGGGGCGGGGGCGGTGGTGGGGGCGGCGGTGGTCGTGGCGGCGGCAGGGGAGGGGGTGGTCGAGGAGGTGGCGGCGGCGGTGGTGGTCGTGGAGGCGCTGGCAGTGGCCAGAGCCAGCAGCGCACTCTGTCGCCCCAGGAGCTCCGTGAGTGGTACTCTCAGCACGGGGGGGGGGGGTGGCCTTAGCTGCACGTACGTCATCCGCACTGGTGACCGCACTGGTCAGACGTGTGGGAGGGCGCACACCACGCAGCGCTGCTTCTCTCGCCTCGACGACGCTTGGCGTACTCAGTTCCCTGATGCCACTGAGCTGCCCCGCTGGGCTGATCTGATGAAAAAGAACATTGATATCTATGCTCTAGACTTTGATGCTATTCTCACTGCCATGTATGTGATGTCTACTAGTGGAGAGAGTGCTCAGTACCTGCGTGTTCCGCCCGACCCGGGCATTCAGACCAGTGAGGCTACCGCTCTAGGTGCTAGTGAGGCTGCTGCTCTAGGTGCTAGTGAGTCTGCGCCCCCTGGTACTGAGTCGACTGAGGCACTACACACCTTCACACTGGACTCAGGTGCTTCTCGCTGTTTCTTTCGTGACCGCACTGCCCTTGAGCCGCTTGCTCGGCCAGTTGCTGTCTCCCTCGCTGACCCCTCTGGGGGTCCGGTCATTGCGACCTCCTCCACTGTCCTTCCTTGTCCTGCGGTCCCGTCGGGCACACTGTCAGGTCTCCACCTCCCCTCGTTCTCTACGAACTTGGTGGCGGGTTGTGCGCTCCAGGACGGGGGTGTTCACCAGTTCACCCCTGCCTACGAGCGCGTGACACACTGCACGTGTGCTCGGACGGGCCGTCACCTGGCTACCTTCACTCGGCAGCCGGGGTCGGACCTGTACACACTGACCACTGAGTCCCCTCGGGTAGCTGCGTCTGCGTTTGCGTCAGGTCAGCTGTCGGCCCCCTGCTCGTGTCGCTCTCTGGCGCACGAGACCGTCCTCTGGCACCACCGACTTGGTCACCCGTTTGTGCAGCGCCTTCGTGCCATGCATAAACGGTACCTTGTCTCTG